CTAGTACAGTTTAACCGTAGTATTTTCGTCAGTTTCAATTGCTAGCTAAACTTGCATAAAATCGCCAGCAGGTTGCGGAGTGGTGAAAATCCGGCTCGAGAACAGTGCAGGAAGCAGAAGTGTTGTAAGTCCCCATGGTCCCCAATATGGTGCCCTTCCTTATTATGTTGGTAATCTATTGCCCAATATTATGTTGTGTCCTTGAATAGTTATTTAGTACTTTCAAATGATCTCAAGCTATTTTTAAATATGATCTGTGATAAGCTATATCCTTTGATGACAGATCTGTATAAAGTATAAATATAGTTATGCTCAGGGTATGCCTTTCTGTCGTCAAGGTATGACTGAAATATTGCCGATGTTACTCACTCTTCCTTGTATCTCTCCAAACGAGTGCATAAATCCTGAAGGGGGAAGGGGAACTTACCTAGTAAGATTACCTAGCCTGGATTACTGGTGATCTGTAGTCTGGCTTTCAGTAGTACATCTGCTACATATTAATATGTCTAATATAAAGTTTTATCAGGTTTGTTTAATTCTAAAAGTGTGATACACCTTGCAATTTCATACAGTAGGTTCTTGTGACGGTGTTTCTTTATTTTCAAAACGTGAGGTGCCGCCAAATATGCTAAGACTGTGAACAGTTCAAACAGTTCTAATTCAAATGTTGTTCAATAAGAGTTACAGTTTTCAGGGTCTTAGGATGCGTTGATGGTGGATACATGTAGGACATTACCCAATTTCACGCACTGGAGAGCAAACTGATGTTCGATGCTTACACCATACGTTCCTATGTTGTTTGTCCAGGTTGGCTACCTTTAATAGTGATGAATACTCATACGCTTATAATACAGATATATAGCTTTGGTAGAAATGTGTTATAAATATATAAAAGCTTGATGATTGTTGTTTATACTCGTGAGCTAGGATGATGGCCGTGTGTGTAATCTGGATCAACACGTGAGCAAGTGTGTACAGTGCTGTGCGTAAAGCATGTATTTCTGACGGAGTGTGAAACATTGTGTATATGTCCCGGCTGAAGTGTACTACATAATGTATCGAGAATTCACAGCAATGTCAACAAACTCGCGAAACTATGACGTTATGCAAACACACACACTCATGCTTAAACAGAACGTTTGAACCTTCGGGATTCTCGTGGTTCAATAAATATATCACCCTGACAACGTATATATTCCAAATGTTCGCGTGACTGATACGTTCCATGGACGCCTATTGTTTATGGCGAAGTGGATAGAATATTTATGTATGTCACGCTGTTCTGTTTCTCAGTAGGATATGGAGATTTTTTTCATTTGCTCTCTCGCATGATACACAATAGAGTGGTGAATGCTTTGCTTTGTTCTGAAGTATTGATCGAAACCTGACAGGTCTGCAGGGTTCTTTACAGATATAATGGTGTTACAATAGGAATTAATCTAATTGTATTACAGACTTCGTTATTGTGATTCCTCGATAACCTTTCAAAGCATCTACAATATATTACAAACATGATTTCTCAATAATGGTAGCACGGCGCCACAAGGAAGACTGTTTTGAAATTGCTTAGACAAACTAACATCAAAATACATGGTTATTAGATTACGAAGGCCAAACAATTCATTTTATATGTAGTCGAGTCTCGCTCAGCATCTATGGGTTGAGGTATATGACGTAAGTTTCAACAAACGATATGGCATTGTGTAAGGTGCGTATCTGATGAGACATGGTGGGGTGAGATGTGTTTCAGTGTAACAATCTCGATTATTGTTTTGAGATAGCGACATGTTCGTGTGCGTGTTTGCGTGTGTGTCTGCTTGTGTGGGTCTTGACATGCGGGTTGTATCTTGCTAGCTCACTCACCTACCATGCTGTAGATTAAAACGGCTAGCCCACTCAGATTGAGCATACCAACTTCTACCAGCCCTTGTGTTATTTTTAACTCGAGCGCCAGACTTTTGACGTAGCATAGTTTACAATTATATATTCTGACGTATGCTGAACTCGAGGCCAGACACGATTATAACTCGTACCATCTCGTAACATATTTTGCTTGCTTGCATGTGTGTGTGTGTGTGTGTGTGTGTGTGTGTGTGTGTGTGTTGCGGGTTTGAAGAGGGTGCTAGTTAGTGTGGTAGTGTGTATATTGCGTGTCCCCATATTCTTGTTCAGTCTGTGTCATGCTACCCGACTGATACAAATTACGTCCGATATCCTACTCTTATACAGCATATCGAGTCCAACAAGTCCTTGTTGTATCCTTAATATCGTGCGAAAGTAGGTAACAAGGAATACGTCCGTGAACGTTGTTTTAGTATGACGTAGTCAAGGTGTCCAACCACCGACGTTCCACCTCCAGAGCGACGCTGTGTTCACTATACGAACAAAGAGACTGTTTATCTAACCCAAACATAAATGTGATAAAACAATGTACCGTCACCATTCTCAGTCTATCCCGAAACCGTTACCCATTTCAAGTGAGTGTGAGTGAGTTTAGTTTTACGCCGCTTTTAGCAATATTCCAGCAATATCACGGCGTGGGACACCAGAAATGGGCTTCACACATTGTGCCAATGTGGGGAATCGAACCCGGACCTTCGGCGCGACGAGCGAAAGCCTTAACCACTAGGCTACCCAACCGCCCTAACCCATTTCAAAATATACAATTTTAACTTGCTAGTTTCACGCCACTTTAATTTCTTTGCCTTGCACATTGATTTTAATACAAACAATGAACAAACAAACTGAGTTTGTTTCCCGAAAAACGACATGATCTGAACGTTTGCACAATTGTGCAAGCAATATAAATATACTCTTTCAACTTGTGAATTAACGAACAACAATTGCACTAATTTAAAGGCGGCGATAATGTTTCATGAGTAATGTAAGATATATTTTGTTTCATAAATAACTTGTCGAGACTGAAAGGCATCTCATTGTTGACAGAAACTACTGCGTAATAGGTCATATTTTCCCTATTCCAGAGGCAGCAGATGATGCATTTTTAATGCAATCATCATATCTCTTTCAGAACAAGTACTAACACGTGTTCACACTGTAATCTATATCTGGTGTATGTTGAGCACACGGCGCAATGTTTACCCAATATTAACACTTGCTGGCCTATCATGTTGCCATGCCTGAAGTTTTCCGCTAAATCTTGATCAAATCTGGTTTGATTGTAGCCGTTTGTCTCCTCGTATTTCCAAGTAATCATAGAATGTCCATGCAAATGAATGACCAGTAATGAGTATCCTTAGAAACAATCCGTTTGGTATAAAGGGAAAAATAGTTGTGAAAATTACATGAATGGATCATTGAAAATCAGTACTGACACCAGGTGTCTGCAAAATGACTGATATTGGAGTGAGTGAGTTGGGTTGTACGGTGCTTTTAGCAATATTCCAGCAATATCACGGCGAGGGACAGCAGAAATGGGCCCATTGTACCCATGTTGGGAATCGAACCCGGACCTTCGTCGGGAGAGGCGAACGCTTTAAGCACTAGGCTACCCCACCGTGACAAGAAGGTACAAAATATAAGTCTTTATCAATGCCAAGGTATCTTGGTCCCTGTTGATCCAGGGCTTGTTTCGCCAGATCCGTACTACTACGTTTTATTTGGGAGAAATTATGGAGGTGACGAGCGAACGTCTTAAACCACTGGGCTACTCCATTGCCCCCACTGATATTGGAAGGATGTACGGTGTTTGTATATCTGTCTGCACGATGTGGCTTGTTATCAGAAAACGCAGTGACGTATACAGTCAAATATGTCACGTCATGCTTAGATAAAACCAGGATGACTAAATGCCATTCAAATCCCTGATTTAATCTGCTTCTACATTAGTCTGCTTCTAGCTTGAGGTTTTTCATATCTATATTTAATATGGTACATACATTTTTTCCCCTCAGCAAATATCATAATATGGACTTAAGAAACCTTCTTCTTATTTAATCAAAATGATGGCGTGGCTTTTGTTAGGTTTTGAATGTAGTCAATATAGGAAAGAGCAAATATTACAAGGACTTATAAAAGCAAGCAAATGTGAGCGTTAATATCGACACGGACTGTTGTGTTACTGCGCTACAGCACGTGGCCATCCTCCACATGGTAGACAAACTGTAACAGATGCTGAAGCTTCCAGTGAGTCACTGTCTGCAGTGTTATCACCTTCACATGTTGGGAGACACGTTGAGATGAGTGTACATCACCTAGTGATATATTGTCATTGCGGAGATTTGTTAGGAATGAATTATGACAGAACATGTGCTCTGTAAATCATAATTTGTTTAACCAAGAAACTGTTTAACTGCTAGACTTCACATGGATACCTAACATGATATATAAGATTAAATGTTTCAATGATGATGAAAGTTAATACCCGTGCATCGTCTAGACGTGTTGAAATGAAAGTGGGTATTTGGTTATAGTTTGTGTAGCTTTGTTGACCAGAGTTCATTCACCAGAACGTCACTGAACACCTTTAGGGATAAAGTAATGAAATTTAACATGTAACATGACTGACTGACTGAATATGGTTTTACACCGCTTTTAGTAATATTCCAGGAACATCACGGTGGCGGACACCGGCAATGGACTGCACATATTGTACCCATGTGGGGTTTTCGGCGTGACGAGCGAAAGCTTTAACCGTCAGGCTACCACACCACCCCGCATGTAACATGAAATTAATGCTAATGTATCATTAAAACTAGGACACATAACGTCATTTATTGTCATTTAAACTGAACCCCGAAAGCAACAAGTGTCGTACGGTAACATTTTAGTTCGATATTTTCTGTATAATCTATAGTTATCATATGTATTTTAATGTAGATAGTTATTTAACTCTCATATCCACGATTTTACTAAAAGTTTTGACTGTTAATACTTTTAAAGTAGTGATAAATGTATATCATTTACGGTAACAATCCTTTCTTGCCCACAATGCCATTATATCATTCTATCCACATGGTAATAATTGTGATCAGTCTTACGTTTGATCGATGGCGGTGGAGTCATCATCTGTCGGATACCCTCCGGAATCTCTTTAAGGGGAATCCGCTCCACCTTCACTTTACGACAATGTCCCAACTCCTCAAGACGACGGAATAAGTGGAGTCGGGTGTTGTTGAGGGTGAAGAAGTGCCCATCCTTCTCTGCTACTTGTAACCGAGGGTATTCCCCCCTCTCTACCACTTTCCGACAGAACTCCCCCATCACCCCTTCGTCATGTAAAGCCTGGGGGTCCAGGCAGTTGGTAAAGTGGATCCGGGACGGTACAAGTCTCACCTCCAATGGCTTCCTCCTTCCGTTCAGAGTCCTTGAGAACATGAAGAGATATCCTTACAAGTCCACACCTGAATGGGTCACCGGATCGCGAAGACAAATCCACATTGTCACTGAAGGAACAAAAGTTTCCTCTACTGTACCACATCCGTCCTCGCAGCCTTCACGCTTGCTTCTCAATAATGACGCTGTTGCCTCATTGAGTCCATCAACAGACCCACCCATCAACGTTGCTCTCACAACGCATGCTGACAACAGACCAATTCACTTTTATTGGGGAAGGCTACATGGACTAGTCTATCTTCCTCCACTGTCCAGGTGAGATGGATTTAGTGACGGGAGTATTGATCGACCATTACAGCCGCGGTCGATGAAGAGCTAGTTCTCTGAACGCACTGCCAAGGCACGGCCCATTATCTTGTCTGTTCCACCAATCCCTCTGTCCGCCTGGCGCTGCCTGAGAAAGCCGCAATTAACTACCACTGCCTATACAATCGCCAGAAAGAGTTGCGCATTTTGACGAATAATTTGATTTCGGTTGAAGCTGTCCACTCTGGTAGTGTCCACCGCAAGGTTGAAGATTCTATTATTGGTCGACGTCGCCTTTTAATCTAATATCGCCGCCTCAAGTAGCCTCCAAGTGCACAGATTACCAAATCAAATCTTTCGGTCGTTTGTGATAAAAAACAGGCCCGTAATTCTGTTAGCACCCTATCCTATATGATAGGCTTGGACCGTGTACGTTTACCCTCCCGATGCTGCCTTCCAAATAACTAGTGGATCCATTTGACGCCGACTAACACGGGTGAAATCATTACAACATCTGCAAGGACCTTTGATGCCTCAACATCAAATACATCTCGGCCAGAAAGCATGTTGTGAAGTACCTTCATGACGTTGCAACATCAGAGCAAACAACACATGAAAGTCAATCTTATTGACAGCGGCGAGTTGGAAATTATCACAAAGATTGCATCAAAGTCGTAGGTGCATTAGCCTGATGTTTGATGACACTTGATCGTCTACTATTGCAGTGAATGTATTTGACATGAACATATACCGTCACAACACACTGTATCCGGCATGGCACTTTTCTCTTACATGTTTCGCAGTCTATTCTAGTCTTATCAATTTCTGACAATCCCCAGCAATGAAAAGATCTATAATAATATTTGCCCAGGAAAGGGTTTGATGATAGACGGAAGTTCGCGGTTCGTTTCCTTTAATTATGAATAGTCCTTCTGTGGTTAGCCGCAAGTCGTCTAAATCAATTAGACCCTTTCTCGTGAAATGAATGAAACGGATAGTGTGTATTACCATAATGGCTGCAGTTTGCACACGTATTTCCCATGAAATGGGATCTGAATAAGTCATTACGATCAAAGCTAACTGCAGAAAAGATTGATCATGTCATATTATGAAGCCAGCAAGCCTCCTCCTTTGTTTCTCTCCCATAAGGGTAATTACCCTGGTTATCACCCATCTACTTTTCACGATGGTTACGAGCATTCACGGTAAGGAAAGAGAGCGAAAATATATTGACAGTCCTCACTTCTGATCCACGAGGGGCTCGTCGTTTAAGTCATTACAACAGCCTTTCTGTAGCATGGGTCATCACGCAATTGCAATGAATCATAATGCTTTATGCTTTCAATTCAAAGTCCGACACTTTCTATGATTGCCGTGGTGCTCGGTGTATAAACTGATTTATAGTTCATGAACGACGTGGTATGTCCTTGTGTTGTATATTCTCATTAGGGTGTAGAAATGTCATCATGTTACGCGGCTGTATAAGGCTACAAATCGTGAGCTTATGCGTTTAAATGCGGACGTAATAACACACTCTCGGCCATCCATCGACCCAATATTGCTTTGAATGATTATGCCACTCTCTTATGTCTGAATCGAGAACAAATGCATATAACATGATACAACTTAATAAAATGGCAAATCACAATGTTACACCCCATACATGGTCTCTCTGCACTTGTCGATGTGTTTTGTTTGTTTGTTGTTTAACGCCGCAATCAGCAATATTCCAGATATTTAGCGGCGGTCTGTAAATAATCGAGTCTGAACCAGACAATCCACTGATCAACAGCATGAGCACCTATCTACGTAGTTGGGATACGATGACATGTGCCGACCAAGTCATCGAGCTTGATCACCCGGTCCCGTTAGTCGCCTCTTACAAGCATGGGTCACTGAAGACCAATTTTAACCCCGACCTTCATGGGTTGTCGATTTGTTGAAAACAATTACACAAATTACGGGTTCTGGCACAAGGAAGCCTTGCCATCATCAGACCACTGCTGTAATTGTCCCATCAACGTTGATTAGATGATATTTCACGTATAAATATTAGTATGGTAATCTATTTAACTTTTTCATGTACACAAGGATTATGTGCAACACAAATTATTGATTATATCAAAATCAGGAACAACATTAACTCATGTCCGACTTAGGCATAGCCGTTGGCCAGAACGCCAACTTTCAGCTTCCACTACTTAGCGAGTTAGTATAGTAGTTAGCTAAAATCCCTTCGGGCAGTGAATGTAATGCAGGTTTGAACAGGATTTCACCGCATGTCAATTTGACTTCAGAGGAAGCCCAGTCTCTGACGTTTCCTACTTTGATGAAAATTAAGAGCATGATCATAATTCTCACAATCCTGTAAACATTGTGCACTGTGACTTCAGACTTTCGTGTTTGGCATGCTTAAGGACGTAACTCTGTATATCACATTCAGACGAGTGGATCAACCTTGCCTCTGGTCCTATTTCATTGAGAGCGTACTCTTGTTTGCTTAAAGCCGCCACACTCAGCGATATTCCAGTTATATGATGGCTGATAATGTACTTGACATATAACAATCATATTTGTCGTGCTGAAGAAATGCTTGTCAAGCCCACCTATACGAACTATAACAGTATAGGGGCCGTTAGCTAAAGGTCCAAACTGTAATATAATGACCAAATGACGTTTCCGGCACTACGAAAAAACATGACTGCACTGCTGACAGTCAACTTAAATAGATCATTGCAGTGGATAGTCTGGATCTCCATTGTGAGAAGACACCTTAAAAGCCTACACGGTGTTGTAAAACCCAAAGTGGACGCCAAGTGTAAAAGCTAACTACAGAAAGCCAGGGACAGTCGGTTGTATGATGGCAACAACATGAGCGCCAGAAAACTCTTTCAACCTTTGTGATCCAAGATTACAGTCAGGGTTTATCTGTCTCGCATGATGAATCGGGCCTACATAGTTATATATGCACTCTCTCCACTCCATTCTGTTATATACACACATTATTCACGATTTTGATGATTGATGTTGGAAGACCGGCTATTCTCATCTAGTGTGTATTCAAACAGACAGTTCAACGGGACGATGCTGTAACGAGGTATGGGATTATGAAGTATGTTGCAGCATGTCTATATTTCATCTAGAAAGATGGAACTGTGCTCATTATCGATGATTACATTATCAAATCTCCTATCGTAAATTTACTTTTGGCACGAAAGAATTCGTCAATGTCAAACATATTGCAGGTTCACAGCCAGGAATTACCATTAATGGTGACACAGTGAATAAGTGGAAATCGAGAGATTCAATTTCATGAGTATAATTGGTCTTAGTGGCCCATTTTTTTTCACAGTTTTAATGTATTGATGCTTAAGTATTATGATAATATAACGTTCATCATAACCTGTTTGGAAGTAATGACACGCATGTGTGCATCCGTTTGTCAATTAGACATTGAACGAGGGAGAAGTGTGATGGGTTAGTGGTTAGTTCGTCACGCTGAATATCGACGTTTGATTCCCCACATTAACCGATGTCCATTCTTGGTGTTCGCCGTTGAATACTTCTGCTGACTTATCACTTATGCAGTTACTCACTTACTACTAAAATACGTATATTGCTGTATAGTTGATATTACGCTATTCATCTTTACACAAGCGTAATTATAGGATGAAACAACGCCTCTGGGAGTATAATGAAGATCCAGGGTATACGTCACATGCTCTTCAATAGAAATCCCAGCAACTTGTCGTTCAAGACTGCTTGATGGATCAGGTAGTCAGCCTCAGGTACTTAGTTGATTGCGTGATTGCTACCCAGCTATCGTGGATCGCTGCTTTACAGTCTTCAAGGTATCCTTGGCTCCTGTTGATCCAGGACTTTTGTAAGTTTTTCTTTGGTGAGACTATAAAGGTTGTTTCATTTGCATTCCTTCATTATCGCTTTTGAACAATTGATGATTCTCTTGGTTAATCCCTTTTAGATGTTTGCAGTGTGTAGAACGGACTTTTAGACGGTCTCCATTGCAATACATCACTCTGGCTGGACAACATTACAAGAATCTAGACAGAAACATCACATCAACAGTACATAACATACATTATAACAGAAATAGTTTCTGATGCATAAACTATAAATTACATTTATTGTTACCCGGCATCTGCAAAAAGCCAGTTGAACTGAACATATGTCGTACCTTCACCCAAGGTAGATAACTCTGATTTCTTTACTATTACCCCAGAATAGTTGTAGTAATGACATGTTTGAAGCTGCATAGCATAAGAAGATAAATTTTACAATCGATACTTTGGCGTGCGCAGCATCATATCTTCATGTTGGTGTTGGAGGATTTTGATGTCTGGAGAATTTGAGGGTTTGTAGGATGGGCGTTTGTTTTGTGTTTTCGAACGGATTTTGGTTGGGCTGAGGACATCACCAAGGTAGCTAACTCTAATTTCATAACAACTAATATCCCGTAGTAGTCATCGCTATAGATTGTGGATGTTTGTTTTTCGTGCGGTTAAGATAACAACTGTCAGAGACGAATTCGAAAGTATTTTCTTGTCTTTATGTTTACGTTTTCTTTAGACGTTTTCAGCGTAAAGAAAGGATGACAGTTCGGTGTAAGATACGTCTGTAAAAAGTACACGTTTCCTCTACTGATTGTATGTTGAGATCAATACTTTAATTGTTTATATAAGCATTGTTTGCACCGGGCTAAGTGTATCTAAAATTGAATGTTCAGAATCAATTAGAAGCCTCTTCAATTTCTCGTTGCAATTTGTAACATCTGTAATGTTATCACATGATGTGATGATACGGTGGTGATCTTTGGTCATGTTATCAATGTAGTTTGATGATCTCAAAGCGACAGTCATAAGAGTTATGCACCATTTTCACTGTGACCCGTAACAACCCCAATGTTTCGTACACACAGAACAGTGGATGTGTAGATTGTGTATTGCTTTGCATGCAAAATGAAACCTTACTTCCCATGTGGGTAAGCACAATATAAAAAGGTCTCTTTTGGGTATTTGAGAATTTTGATATG